CCTTTGCTTCTCACTTTGTGTTTTCATTGATTTAATGAATTTGTGATTCAAGCATCTCCATTTGTAGGTGCATCTTTCTGTTGAGACTTCTGAAATGGCTTGCCTTGTGTTTACTTGCAACCTACTTCATCACCATGGTGATTATACACAACAACCTCCCACACACAAGTCATTTGACTTTTTTCGAAGAAGTGGTACAGGTAGTAGAGATGGTTTATTCAATATATTATATTGCATTAACTGGATATTCATAAAAATATATCTTGATACATGTCTTAGAGCATACACAAAATTATCAATCTAATTGAGAAAGGTAGAAGAATGAAACCTTTCAGATAAATAAAGAATATCTTCATAGTTTTGGAGAAGGCAAACAAATGTTTTAGCAGGTTTCAGAGAATATTAATTACAGGGCAGCAATGATAAAATGGATTAAATCAATTAAGAATTCTATTTCTCAAAAGACACTGTTACAAGAATAAAAAGGAATCCACAGAATAGGATAAGGCAATGCACATATCCAAAAGATTTTATACACAATATGAAGTAGCTGACAAATAGATATGGAAAAGGCATGCAGTAAAATAAAGGTGACAAAATCTTAAACCCTTTGCACAAATGAGTGTCAATAGCGTGAACATGAGGTAAGGATTTCAACTTCAGTAGCCAGATAGGATTATTACAAAGATAATAGGGCTCTCCCTGGTGGCACAGCGGGTTAAAGCACAGCACTAAGAAGCTAAAGCCACATCAGCATTAGTTCAATTCCCACCCCAGAGGTGACGCACATGGCATGGCAGACCTCTCCTGACCGCCCGCTGCTCCCCTCAGCAGTGTACTTCATCACTCAGCCTGTTCTGCTCTCCACTCTATCTCTGGTGAATCCTCTCACCCCCCACACTTCTGGCCTGTACCCCAGTTCTGTATGCATAAATAATATCTAAAAAAAAAAAAGATAATATGAGTAAATAAATGAAGATGCAGGAAAATAAACTCCATTTCTGTAAAGCTTAAAATCAGGTAGAGGTAGACAATATTGTTAGGGATTCTTAGGTTATACAAGTCTAAAGAACAGGGTCTCCCTGGTGGTGCAAGGGGTTAAAGGGCAGCACTATGAAACTATCCACAGCCACTGTAGCACAGGTTGATCTCCAGCCGGGGAACTGACCCACATAGCACTGCAGACCTCTCCTGTCTCACCCACTGCTCCCCAGGGGTGTATTTCAATCTGCGTATTCTGCTCCCGTCTGTCTCTTAACCCCTGCACCTCTGACCTGTACCCCAGTGTGTATGCATAAATAGATCTTAACAAAGAAACCAGAATGAAACTGAAGTGTTCATAAAAATATACCGTGATACATGTCTTATAGGATACACAAAGTTAATTATTAATCTAAACGAGAAAGGTAGAATAATGTGCCCTAAACCCACATTCACAGACTCCTCTTAGGAGACAGAGAGAACAGGGCTGGTGGTGGGACTGCCCCAAGGTTTCAATTCGGTGTCCTCTGTTTCTGCTATTCTTCATAACAAAATTCTAGGCCAGAATTTCTTGTTAGCCTTAAACACTAACTTATCTCCCTGGTGCATAATCTTTCCTTTCCAATGAGTCTTCTCTCAGTAACTCAGCGTTTACTACTTTTTGAGGTCTTGGAAGTTCATTTCCCTAGAAATCAAGAAGATGACTTCCTAGGGAAAATGAAAGAGTGTTGAGGTGAACATAGGGGACAAAACGCTCCCGTTGGGGAAGCTGAAGTATAGCACACTAAGTGCAAATTGAGTTGACTAGGTACCACAGTGAGTGCTTTGGTAAGATCAACAGAAAGGGAAGGAATGTGGACTTGTGGAAACAGCTGAAGTATGCTCAGTGAAGGATTAACAGGACTGAATGACTATAAGACATGAGATAACTTGCTGAGTAACAGAAATAAGAAGTTGAAAGAAAGACAGGAGCTGACTGAAACAAGGTAGATTATGTCTCTCTGGAGTTGGCTTTACCCCACATTGATGAGTCCCAACATGCATGTCACCATTATGACTTGATAGGTTGTTGAGTATTGAAACTCAGAGAATATGATTGGTGTCCAGCTCCAGGGTCAGAATCTCTCATAGTGGCAGATGGTATCATTCCCATCAGCTCCAATTGGGTAGAACATTTTCCCAGCAGGAAGTTTAACACTGAGGCCATTTCAGCAAGTGAAGTGCTGGTTATTTCACTAAAGGGAACAAGAATGATTGTCTGGTGAGGCTTGAGTTTGGGTCAGTCTGTTTCAGTTTTGCCCATGACCCTAAAGAAGCGCTCTCAGCTGTGGGCATGACATACATAAGGTACATGTGAGTTCCCTGTCCCTTCCTGGCTTGTGGATGTGATAATCTTCCATCAGTGGGGTGGAGACCTCAACTCACTTTCAGGCTCCAGGAACTGCTCTTTCTCAAGCCAGTTGCCTTCTCACTGACAGCTAGGTCATAAGGGCATTTCTTTGTAGATTTTAGCTCTTCTCTGGGACTCACAGCACTGTGCAAACCTCTACCTTACCAACTATCAGTTCTGACCTCTGTCAAGTGCTTGTGCTCTTACCAGGCTATGGATTTGGCCACTGTCAGAGAGGAAAGTATTGGTAGCATCAGCTCAACCTTAGTGTGGGGTACCTATTTCAAATATAAGGAAAATTGTCATATGGACAGCTGGCTATAGGAATATGGAGTAGAATTCTGTGGTTTAAATTTGGAGGCTGGGCCCTCCCTGGTGGCACAACAGGTTAGGAGGTAGCACTTCAAGCTGGCCACCGCCGCTTCAGTGTGAGCTCTATCCCCAGCCCCGGAGGTGATCCACATTGCTTGACAGACCTCTCCTGACCCACCCGCTGCTCCCCTCAGCAGTGTAGTTTGTTGATCTGCCTAATCTGCACCCCAAGCTGTGAAGCTTTTCACTGCCCCTGTACCTCTGTCTTGTACCCCAGTGCTGTATGAATAAATGAATCTTTTTTAAAAGATTAGAGGCTGTAGAATTTGGGTGATACATAAATAGAATGCATAAAGTTATACAGTATAAAATATTTGTCAGCATACTTAGATGTGCACAAATATATAAAATGGGTAAGATTGCAAAATATGGTGTTAGGGTTGAAAGCAGGAATTAGGAAGAGGCATTTTGGAATATTAAGGGTACACCCCATTTGTCAAGAGACGGAGGGAACCAGAGTAGAGGTTTCCCAACCCTGGGACTAACTCAATTGAGTAAATGAAATCAAGCAACTCCACGGAGCTGACAGACAGCTTCTACCTGAGAATTATCTGGGGCACAGCCCAGTGACCCACTAACTTGGCTCTGAGCTTCAGACTTACTGCACTTGTCCTTTCATGTGTACCTAGCCTGTCTGCTTGAGCCACTAAGAAAAATGTGCTCTTTTGCCATTTCTCTGGACTATATAGGTGTGGGTACAGATGAAACAGTTTTATAGAAGACAACCTCTGCTTTTCATCGGGTCCTCAAGAACTGTCAGTGATCTATTCTGCATCAGTTACATGTTTTGCATACTGAATTTTAAACAACTTAGAGAAAAAAAAATTAGCCTTAATTGGCTTTAGAAAGATGGAATGCTAAGGAGTTCAGGTCAAAGAGTAGTCATACTTAACTGTTTCAACAGTAGTTTTACACTTGCCCTTCACACTTAGCTTCTACCACTTCTACTAGCACTACTACTACTAGTGTCAAGTTAGCCTATTTTAACTACTGTCAAGTTAGCCTATTTTATTATTTTTGAAAGATTTTATTTATTTATACATGTACAACTGGGGTACAGGCCAGAGGTGTAGAGGCAGTGAGAGAATTCACCAGAGTGGGGAGCAGAACAGGTAGATCGACAAAGTACACTGCTGAGTGGAGCAGCAGGTGGGTCAGGAGGGGTCTGTTGTGCCATGTGGGCCACCGCCCAGCCAGGGATTGAACTGGCACAGAAGCAGGCACCGCCAGCGACCTTGCACGGAAGCTGGTCAGTGCTGCACTACAAACCTCTAGGCCCCCAGGGAGGGCCCAGACGATTATTTCGTAACAAAACTTTAACAAACTAGACAACAGCATTGGAAGTGGGTAATTTTATTGTTTTTCTTTTAAAATAAATACTTGTTATACAAACTGCCTGAAGTTATAAATGAACTGTTCAGTAATAACAGGAAATGGATTTTTCTATTGAATTTATAAAGCATTTAACTTTTATGGAACAAATTTTTATCTTTAGTATTTATTATTATGTAGCATTCAGGGATAATAAAGTTATTTAATGGCTTCAAGAATTTTAAAAGTGCATTTTCCAAGGTACAATTCAAAAGTGAATAAATATACATTCCATTACCCAATCTATTTAACATGAACATTAGCTTTTCTGCTAATTTTCTCCCACTGCAATATGGCTTTACTTTGCTGAACAGTGGATGCCAAGTGGGGATGACTTTAACCCCAGCAGACATTTGGCCTCTCACTGTGGTGGTCTATTATGGAGCAAGGGGTGGGTACTTAGTGGGTAGAAACCCAGGGTTACTCCTAAACATCCTATAATGCGTGGGATGAACCTCAACAACAAAATTATCCAGTCCCAACAACAGAGCCCAGGTTGAGGAAACTTGTAGACTATGACCCAATTTCCATTTATCAACAGCTTGTCACTGTAATTCTGAAAATATAGACTTTGCTCATTGTTAAGACTATCTAAAAGATTTAACTTACATGACCCAAAACAATGCCTGACTTTACCCATCAATATGATTCTTCCAGAATGATTAAGCCATACAATCAGATCAGAATGATAGAAATTAGCATATATACCATTTAATTCCCCTTGAACTTGCTCTACTACATTGAATCTGTTAATAGTAAAGTTAATGTGGACTGTTTTCAAGTAGCTAGGCAAATAGTTCCCATTGTATAATTTTTCTTGACTATGATCACATTGCAGTGATATATAAAACAGCTGTCAAATAGCCAAGTGCTGCTTATCTCAATACATTACAAATGAACTTCGTTTATTTGTTCAAATTTATCATGACCATATATTCAGACAAGATTATTGGTTCTTTCTTTTTACAATAACTGCTCATAAATGTTTTTTACAAATTACAGTGGTCCTATGTGGGGAGTGTAATACAAAATTAAGAAGTTGTTTGTGTTTTCCACACAATTTCTGGTTGTAAAGTATAAATGTTTCAAATGAGAGTTCTCCTAATGTGGAGCCAAATTTTTAAAAAATCATTTTAAGTTTACTAAATAGAGAAACTTTTCAGTACTCATTTCCACATTCACTTTGATGTATTTACATTCTATGTATTTTCTTGTGATCCACAAACTGATTCAAATGATTTAAGTTATCCCACCATTTAAAGAGAAAAGTCTCTGCAATAATCTGAAACCACGGAGTTATCTTAATTTCACCATTGGCTGCCTTTTTCAAAAGTTCTTTAAGTTCTTCCTTGGATACATAACAATAGCTTTTAATCTCGTTTGGATCTGGACTCAACGTCACATTCTTCTTCATAAACAAGATGTAATCAATCTCATGTTCTCCCCAGATACCATCAGATTGAGCCTTGTAGTGAATTCGAGTGAGGTAATTCATTTCTTCAGGAGGAACCTAGTATTGAAATAAAACAGTAAAAACCATTAACAAAAATGTAGTCTAAATTTACCACAATTCAATACTACTTTGAACAACAGAATTTTTGCTTTAGAATTGGAACTTCTAAATACTAATCTCCTAATGATCATATCTGGAAATAATATTACATAGTTTCAGGCACCTCAATTATTTCCCAGAGACCAAACATGTAAGCTGATTTTACTGACTTATTTTTAAAAAGTCACTAGAAACTGGAATTGTGATCTATTCCTTTCATATCTTAATAGTACTTTTGAGAGGAGAAAGTTATCATTTTAACGAATAAGTCAAGAGGTTACAAAGCAACAACCTACCTACATCTGAACTTAAATTATATTGAAAATGTACATTTAAGACTTTAGCTTATTGATTATAATCCATGGCTCTCTGGAACCATGGGAAGTGATTTGTTTTGTATAGCTGAATTTTAGAGATGACAATGTCTGCTTTGTAGGCTAGTAAGTATTTATTGTTTTGGATAAAATTTAAAGATGTTTACTCATTTTTGTTTTTATGGAAACAGAATGTACTAAATACTATTTAGCTTTTTATTGATGAAGCCTGATTAGTATGGATAATAGTTTTTTTTTAAATGTTCTCAGAACTTCTTGAAGTGTCCCGCCTTATCTGATACTATAGTAAATTATCTTTTCTGTGTTAATTTTAATATTTTCCTAGAACTTTCCTTCATGTTACCTGTAATTTCTTACTCTGTCTCAGGTACTTAAAAACATCTTTTAAAAATTTTGAAGAGGCCCTCCCTGGTGGCACAGTGGGTTAAAGCACAGCACTAAGCAGCTAAAGCCACTTCCGCATGAGTTCGATTCCCGCCTGCCCCAGAGGTGACGACATGGCGTGGCAGACCTCTCCTGACCTGCCTACTGCTCCCCTCAGCAGTGTACTTCATCCATCTGCCTGTTCTGCTCCCCACTCTGTCCTTGGTGAAGACTCTCGCTGCCCCTGAGCCTCTGGCCTGTACCCCAGTTCTGTATGCACAAATAAATAAATCTTTAAAAAAAATTTTAAAGAAAAGATTTCAGTTTGTATGATTAGTGCATGAAATTGGTTACCTCTCCCATGGGAATTCCTAGTTCAGCCTTCAGGCGCCTCTGAGCTGCCCTTCTTACTCCAATTGCATTATCTTCTTCAAGTTCTCCTGGATTATTTAATGGATGGCTACAACACGTATTGGTAAAACAACCTAAAATGTTCAAATAGGTGTAAATTCACTTTTCTTCCAAATAGGTTTGAAAGGCAATAAAAAATTAATGAAACAAAAAAAGAGAAAAAAGGAAAAACAATACATTTTAATAACAAAAAGTAGAAAAAAATGAGTAATTCCCTCATAATCATTTCTATGAAACAGATATGTGTATGTTCTTTATTAAAGCCTATGCAACCAAAAAGACTGAGGTAGATACATTTTTAAAATGTCTAGATCATGTACCTAAGAGTTCTTACTCTTTATTGCTATTCTTTAGGTTGCATTCATTATATACGCAAGCTTATTCTATGTTGAAAATGAAACTAAGTCAGTCACAGGATATCCCTCAGGACCTTGGCTACAAGGGAGTTCTAAGTGACAAATTCAAACTAGACAAAGTTTCCAACATGACACTGTACAATAAGTATACTAACCTGGAAAGGTAATTTTAGCATCTGATCTCTGTTGTAGCAAGAGTTTATTTTCAGTGTTGAATAAGAAAACACTAAAAGCTCGATGTAATAATCCTAAAAGCAAAAAATATGTAATTTAGTTTAAAAATACCAGTAATTTGGTTGAGTCTCTATTTGGGGTTCGGAATATTAGTAACTTAATGCCATTTTAGCTTTTTTCCAGGCTTCTATTTGGAGAGTCTCTGTATAACTATGACGGAGATGATCGCAGGCAGATGCAAGGAAGGTGCCATCAAATGAAAGATATGAACTCTTAGTTCTGCCACCAGCCAAATTTAAACATGTTATACAGGGGAGGTAGCAAGGTTGATTTTACTATCACACACCTTAACTAATCAGAACAGATAAATCATATGGTTAAAAAAATCACATCTTGGTGTAGCAGACCTCTCCTGTCTCGCCTGCTGCTCCTCTCAACAGTGTATTTCAGTAGATCTGCCTGTTTTGCTCTTCTGTCAAACCGCCCCTCCTCCCACCACCTATGGCCTACACCCCAGTTCTTGTATGCATAAATAAATAAAAATAAATCTTAGGCGGCCTCCCTGGTGGCGCAGCGGGTTAAAGCACAGCACTAAGAAGCTTAAGCCACTTTCGCATGTGTTTGATTCCCGCCTGCCTAGAGGAGATCCACATGGCGAGGCAGACCTCTAATGACCCACTCGCTGCTCCCCTCAGCAGTGTACTTCATTGATCTGCCTGTTCTGCTCCCCACTCTGTCTCTGGTGAATCCTCTCACCCTCCACATCTCTGGCCTATACCCAGTTCTATATGAATGAATAAATATTTAAAAAAAAATAAAATAAATCTTAGGCATAATACCTTTAAATAGAGTATTTTAAAACATTACCTTTCTCAATGTTTTCATTCAGGTGACAATTCTTTTTGGTTTCAGCCCCAATTTTATTGTCATTTTCATCAATAAGAATACACATCTCTGCCAGGAGTTGAACCTGTTGCTTATCAAGTTTGTCGGTATTTATTTCAGGCATTGTTACAGTATGTCTAATCTGTCCTAGAATACTGATATTAAAAGGAAGAGAAAAAGAGGCTATTATACCATGTTTTTCTGAATATCATATAAACATTTGAAGAAAGAATTCTAAATCTATGTCATTGCCAAAAATAAGAATGATCCTTGTTGCTCTTATTTGCAGGCTCATCGTGCTACATCCCCATCAGGTCCTCAAGAATACTTATGATCCACCACCTACTTCATCTTAGTCATCATGTCTTCTATAGGCCACCAGAGTGGGCCATTTAACATTGACAATCTATTAACTGCTAAGCTCAATGTTCAGTTAAATTCTTATCTTGTAACCTTTGCAGTACATGGTAGTCAATCTTTTTCCCTTTATATACTTTTCCTTCTTCGGAATCTGTCCATTGTGACCTAGTCTCAACCTAACTTTTCATCCTATCTTTCAAAAAGCTTCTACAGTCTTGCTTATGTTTCCATAACCATCCCCAATATATGACCTGCCTCTGTAGTTGCTCAAGAAAACCATATTTATTTTCCAATGTTCAATATCCCAGTACTTATCCCTTTTACCAATATCCCAATAAAATTTAAACTAGTTTTCTCCAACTAGGTTTCCTAATCAAATTGTGTGTCAATTGTCCCAACAGCACAGCAGAACTAAAAGCATTCAGATAAGCCAGAGAATTTAATTCATCATAGTAAATGGATTTTTTAGAGTAATATTCAGAAATTTTTCCTATAAATAGCCAGAAAAAGTGTAGCCTACTTCCTCTGTAGCCTAGGCAATGCTTCAACTGACATGTCTGTGTTTCAATAAAACTTCATGTATGGATACTGAAAGTTGAATTTCACATATCATGAAATATTTCTTGACTCCCCCCCCCCAAAAAAAAAAAACACAATTAAAAATGGGGAAAATATTTTTAGGTCACAGGAAATAACCAAAAAGGGCAATGGAGCAGATTTGGTCCACAGGATACAGCTGATAGATTACATCTCACTGAGGCTTAATGCTCTGAACGTTGATTTCTGCACTCCCTGTGATTCAAAGCACTCATGTAAGCATTTCTAGGGCCCAACTCAAACTTTTTTTGCACATCCATATCCAGGATTTCTAAGTTCTCTGTATTTTACATTTTTCAAAGCATTTAATGCAGAGTTTATCCTGAGTTTCCGGAGTTGATGTGTATATAAAACACATGCTATATATTTTTGAAGGTTCTCTGTGTGTCCTACTTAGTGACTTTCTTTCAACTATGTACAAAAGTAGCTACTTGGAACAAGGTTCTCACCCTAAATAAGAGTCTGGGGCAAACTGTGTGTTTGCTAGAGGGGAGGTATCAGGAGTCAGTGAAGATATGACAAAATGATAGTATCAAAAAAAAGGTAAACACCCTTAATGACTAAAAGCACAGAACAAGATGAAGAAAACTGGGGTAAGATATATGTTAAGTCAACCTCAAAGTTAACCTATTTAAAAAGCATGTATTTACAACTTTTATAGACTAGTTTAATACAGAATATGACTACATATTACTAGTAATTACTGTCATATTACTACAGAATATGACAATGGTTTAAGTCATACTCTTTTTCTGGAGTTTCATATTTTAAGACTGAATTTTAGTACAAAATAACTCATTTTAAGATAATATGCAGAAGCTCCTGGAACATTTCACCCAACCTAAAAAAAACTAAAATAGTCACTCAATGTGATGCTGTCCATCCCTTTGGCTTCACTTCCAAAAGTTAGTGATTTTTGTCTCTATTATTACCTTTTAGGTAATGTCATCTGTGTCATGTATACATGTGCAAAGAAAGATGTACATATGTGGAAAGAGGATTTCTACAATGATCTAGAAAATGCAGTCTACTTGTATAGGCTAGTTTAATATAAATTAAGTCATCACAGCTGAAAATGTATAGTTTGTTGGGGAATCATACTTCTGAGAAACTTCGGGGACCCAATTTCATATTCAACATTCCACTAAAAGTTCAGCTGTTGTTTTTATGTATAAATGAAAGTCTTTTTTTTTTCTACTTACTAGTATCTAACAAGAGGATTCATTTCAGAATGTAAAATGTCTTAAAGCTAAAAAGTAGACTTCACACATCCTATCGACTCATGTATACACAAACACCTTTTATCTACCATGAAATCTGCCGTAGCAGATTGAGAAGTGGATCTGCTTACTGTCAAAGATACCTCGATCGTCTCCCACACTGACATTCAAAATAACTCAAGTTATTTCCCTTAATAAAAGTCACACTCCCGAAAGACTGATGTACCTTCGATCAGTGACTCTAGGGACAAATGAAGTAACAAATGAATATGTCCCTCGTAGTAGGTGCCTCATCTGCATTCCAGCTCTGCATGCACCATCAACCGCTTCTCTTTGGCCTTGCACACATGCATCTACTCCTGCACAAGTCAAGCATCACCTAAATGCCCCACGGTACCCGTCCGTTACCGCCGCTGTGCCCTTTCACCACTGCAACACCATCACTGTGCACAGCCACCACCACGACTCCCACTACCCCCGTCCGCAAGATACGAAGTGTTACTATGCACTCCCTCACTGTGCACGGGGGATGCTCCCGCTCGCGGAGACTAGAGCACTTGCAGACGAGTCACCTGGACATAGAGCGGGCCAGACTCTACGAAAAGACGGGTGGGGTCTGCGCAATCTTGCAGTAGAGCCGGGAGGCGTTCCTAACCCCGGTAGGGCTCCGTACAGCACTGCCAGGGCTGGTGGAGAACTCGCTTTCTCCACGGTGGTCCCTACCTACGGGCCTCACTTCCTGCTGTCTTATCCCGCAGGGACCTCCAACTGCCGCCCAGCCCCTTAAGTACCCAAGCCGGCACTCCATCTCTTACCCCTCAAACCCGCGAAACCCCACCCTGCCATCTATCCCCTCGACGAACTCCACTGCATCCCCTTTCTCTTCCCGACTAGCGACGCCCTTAAACTCGATAACCGTACCTCCGCCGCCGGCTTCCAGAAGTCTCAGGCTCTGCCGCACCCGCCGCTCTCAAGACTCGCTCTTGAGCCCGCCCCCAACCCCAGGCCACGCCCCCAGGCGCCGGGAGCCCAACCGCTGGAGCCCAGGCTAGAGCGCGCCACATGCCTGATGGCCAATCGCGCCCCGACCCGCGTGTGATGTCACGGCCGCGCGGTGGCACCACACTCCGCGTGGGAGCGTCTGCCGACCTGACCCGGAGTCCTCCTTGCAAAGGTCCTCCAGGTGGCTCCCCGGCCGCTGACCTGAGAGCCCCACTACTGGGTTCAGACACTAGCACTGCGGGGAGCTGGGGATTGGGCAAGCTGAAGATTGACCGGAGCCCTCCGGAGGCGCGTGCGCACTAAGGGTTCTCGGACTCCCAGCGTTAGGAGTGGTGCCCCACCCCCTAACTCCCTTAAGTGTGGCGGAAATGTGGCGCCCTCTCCCGAGGCGGGAGTGGGAGCGAAGCCGACTTCCGGGGGTGAAGGCGGAAGAATTTGTCTTGGGAGATGTTTAGGAGTGAGGGTCCCATGAGGCAGTCAGAAACCTTCTGTTTCTGAGGTTGATTTGTATTTCAGGGTTGATTTGTATTAGCGAAGCCTCCAGGCGGCAATCACTTATTATTTATTCAAGTAGATTAAAAAGAGAAGACAATGTTTAAGCTTTAAAATTCGGATTACATGTGAAATTATTTTTCAACTGGAAAATATTAAATATCTATGTATTGAAGTTTAACAATTTTATTTATTTAACAACTTATTATGCCAGTGACACTTAAAATACAGTCTGGGATGATGACTCTACTTTTTAACTTTACAAGGGATATGCATTTCATAGAAACAATACTTCAAATTTGTTTCTTTCCCCATTCCTCCCTGCCCTAGGCTTAGCTATAGGAGTCTCTAGTGATATGGCAGTGGCTATTGTCTGTTGTGTCCTTGCAGCAAATATGTCCATCTGTGTGTGATAGTTAACACTATTAGAAGAAATAAACCTGGGACCTCCTTGGTGGCACAGTGTAGGTTAAAGCACAGCATTAAGAAGCTAAAGCCACTTCAGCATGAGTTAGAACCCTGCCCTGGAGGTGACCCACATGGCGCGGCAGACCTCTCCTGACCTGCCCACTGCTCCCCTCAACAGAATACTTTGTCAGTCTGCCTGTTCTGCTCCCCACTCTATGTTTGTTGAAACCTCTCACCACCCCTCCCTGCACCTCTAGCCTGTACACCAGTTCTGTGTGCATAAATAAATAAATCTTAAAAAAAAAAAAACAAAAAACTGTTGGGTGCTATTGCCCAATTGTAGGGTAATGTGTTGGATGACATTTAAGATAGGCTAAGCTAAGCTACAATATTCTGGTAGGTAGGTTAAACAATTCAATAGACGTGTTAAGTATATTTTGACATGTCTTCATTTTACAATGTTTTTATTGGAACATAAACCTACTATAATTTGAGGAAGCTCTGTACTGAGTGAGCTTAAGCAGAGTTGCAGTGGATTTTAAACTTTTTAGTCTCAGGCTATCTTTACACTTAAAATTTATTGAGGAGACCTTAGTGAGCTTTTTCTTACTGTTTGTATCCATCCCTACTTACCTTATTAGAAATATTAAAATTTATATGTTAAAATATTTTATCAATTTAAATATGATCAATATACTGCATATTAACATTTTAATGGAAAATGGTTATTTTTTTCCAAGCAAAATTTAGTAGAGGCTTGTGGGTATTTTGGTATGTTTACATTTTTGTAACTCTCTTTTATGGCTGAATACAGAACACAGTTTATTGTATGTTATGTTGTGCTGAAATATATAAAGAAAATCTGGCCTCATACCAGATATATGAGGTAAAAAAACTGGTATTTGTCTTTCTTTCTTTTTATTTATTTATTTATTTATTCATACAGAACTGGGGTACAGGCCAGAGATGCGGAGGGTGAGAGGATTCACCAGAGACAGAGTATGGAGTAGAACAGGCAGATAGATGAAGTACACTGCTGAGGGGAGCAGCGGGCGGGTCAGGAGAGGTCTGCCTCGCCATGTTGATCTCCTCCGGGGCAGACGGGATTCAAACTCATGCAGAAGTGGCTTAAGCTTCTTTGTGCTGTGCTTTAACCTGCTGCGCCACCAGGGAGGGCCCAGTATTTTGTCTTTCTAATTAAAATTTCTAGGGCTCTGCCTGGTGGCTCAGTGGGTTAAAGCACTGTAGTGTGATGCTATCCGAAGCCACTGAAGCATGAGTTCGATTCCCAGCTAGGGAGCTGACACACATGGCATGGCAGGCCTCTTCCGGCCCACCCACTGCTCCCCTCAGAGGTGTATTTTATCGATCTGCCTGTTCTGCTCCCCATTCTTGTCTCTGGTGAGTCCTTTCACCCACTACACCTCTGGCCTATACCCTAGTTCTGTTAACATAAATAAGTCTTTAAAAAGAAAACTTCTGAAACAGGGTCAAAGGGCAGTGCCAAGGTGGGGACAGGTCAGTCTGAGTTCTTGCCTGTGTGCAAACAATTGCAAGACTTTTCAGACTTGCAGAGCTGTTACAATGGTGTCTATTTAACAAACAAGAATGGGGAAATTTATTTGTAAGGCCACTATCTGTCTCAAACCAGATAGTATCTGCTGTATTCAGTAGCCCCAACAAAGGCTGTTTTTGCAAGATGGCTTATGTAATCTGAATTATAAAATTCTAACATAGTCTTCCTTTATTCAGTCTACTTGAATAAATGATTGTTGCTGCTGGATGTTCTGGAGCTGACATTGGCAAGTGGTGAGTCAGTACCTAACTCTTGCTGACAGATGGAGGTGGCTCACAGGTGGGGCCCCTGAAGTGATATTGCAGTAGCTCACAGCAACAGCCTGAAGGTTGGGCTAGGCAGCACCCAGCACTGGACCGGAGAGCAATAGGGGCCAATGGCACCAGGAGGCAGTGACAGAAACGTAGACTCAAACGTGACTGGGCACAGTGCAATCACCTGTCATCAGTGCTGGATGGCGTTGGCCAGTAGTGCCAGTCACCAGTTACCAGGAAATAGTGTCAAACCACTAGTGTTAACAGCTCTCCGTGACCTATTGGTATGAACCAATAGACAAACAGCCCTTTGAGACACACTAGACCAAGTAGGCCAGAGCTCCCTGCAGGCGAAGAGGAAGGGCTTGGGCAAGTATAGCAGTAAGGTCTCTGCAAGGACCTGTGGAGTTCTAAGGAATCCCTCAGAGCTCAACTGCTTAATACTTCTTTTCTTTGCTGAGTTCTCTCTTTGGAAGCCAGGAGCAGGATAAATCTAAGCTGGTTCTTACCCTGCCTTTTGTCATCTTTCAAAATACCCCACCCCACACACCATTTTCAATAATTAACTTATCCCCATGAATAAAACCAACCTGGAAACTGACTGGTTCATTAAACTCAAACCTGATCCCATTTACAATCCTGGCTCCATATACAAAAAGGAAACGTCCACCCTCTGACCATACTGACTTGTGTTGGTTTCAAAATGACCATGGTTATTCTCTTTTATTATCATACTAAAACATCACAGGGGGTGCTCTATTATTGGGTGCATATATAACTAAAAATGTTATTTCTTCTTGTTCTATTATGCCCATATTCACAATGTAATCTCTGTCAGTATTGCTTATTAACTCTTAAAATTGGAAATCTATTTTATCTGATATAAGTATAGTTTTGCCTGAATTTTGCCATCTGCTTGTAGGATTGTTCTCTAGTTTTCAAGTCAGTGTTTGCCTTCTTAAGGTGGGTTCCAAACAGCACACTGTTGAACTATTTTGAAATCCACTCAGGGGCCTCCCTGGTGGTGCACAGGATTAAAGTATATATGAAGTATTCACAGCCACTGCGGCACAAGTTTGATCCCCCACCAGGGAACTGCCCCACCACAGCACAGCAGACCTCTCCTGTCTGGCCCACTGTTTCAGCAGTATATTTCAGTCAATCTGCCTGTTCTGTTTTCCAGTCTGTCTCTGGTGAATCCTCATATGCTAGTGTGTTTGACACTACTTCCTGTAACTGGTGATTGGCACTACTGGCCAACGCCATCGAGCACTGTTGACAGGTGATTGCACTGTGCCCAGTCACGTTTGAGTCTACGTGTCTGTCACTGCCTCCTGGTCCCATATACCTCTGGCCTGTAACCCAGTTCTTGTATGTGTAAATAAATAAATCTTAAAAAGAAAAGAAAAGAAATCCACTCAGACATATGCTATACCTTTAAAGTGAATTCAAACCATTTATATTTAAGATTACTGAGACATTGGTACCACACACAGGTAAGACTGCCAAGCAAAGACTGAAGGTATGGCTACAGTCAAGTAGTAAAATATTGCTGGCAGAGCACCAGAAGATAAGAGAGTGGAATGGAATAAATTCTCATTGACAGCCCTCAAGAAGGAACCAATCCTGATGACACCACCTTGTCTTGGGCTCTGGCCTCCATAATTGACAGAAATTAAAAAATTTTTTAAACTAAATATCATCGTTTATCACCCTTGTAAACTTGACAGTAATGGACTTCTCCCTGTAGGTGTAGCCACATCGTTCCCTGCCACAGGAATGGTAAATTTTTATTCTTTAAGTTACCTAACCTGTGGTATTTTTGACAGCCCTATTAGACAACTACACAATGGAATGAATATGGGCTTCAATGTATATCTTGATTTTAACCTAATCTTTGCTGCACTGTATAGTAGCTTTTTGACTCATGAAAAATGAAAAATATTTTCAAGATTAACCAAATTCAATTAAAATGATTTCTATTTTACTGTTAAATAAATCACCAAATATGCCAAATGCCTGGTACACAACATGTTTATTCCTTTCCCTCTCACTTCTTTCCCCTTTTAGTTTTGTGACACCTTATTTTTTTTTAATAATGTAAGTTTATTTTTACATCATTTTGTGCCTTTTTCCATCTCAGTTATAATTCCCGTAGGCGTCCCATCACCAAATAACCCGTGTGTTATCACCATAGCCCAGTGTACCTCTCCCCCCACGCCCACCATTTTTGATCCCATTCCCTATTCCAAAACCATAAAACGTCTCTGGTATATAGCTGTTCATTATTATTATTACTTTCTCCCCTAGTCCTTTATATTCCTGCTATGAGTGAAACCACCTGGATTTTTCCTTTTCTTTCTGGTTTATTTCACTAAGTATGATCTTTTCTAGCTCCATCCATGTTGCTGCAAAAGGCATGTGTTTATTTTTTTTTTGGTTGCTGAGTAATATTCCATTGGTGACACCTTATTTTTATGAACTCATTTTAGTGACTTAGTGGAACCCTAAGTGCACCAAACGAAACACTTAAACTAAAAATGTCTTAAGTTCATCCAAACTGAATGCTTTGTTGCAAAATAAAACCATACATTTAGTGTGAACTAGTTGAAGATGACATCGTGGTTCATAGAGCTTTTTACCAATTCTCATGTCAAGCAAAATATCTTATATTACGTGCAAAATAAACGTTGTATTGTTACTTTAATACAACTTCCAAAGTCTGAAATTCTCAAAAATTGATCTTATTGTTCTTAGTAATAAACTTTTATTATAACACAACGCAGAAATGTTTCCAGTCTTTAAACTACATACTTTTTTTGTCTGTTGGATCCCAAAATATGTTACGTTTGTTTTTTCTGCAAGAATCACAAAAATGCTTCTCGAATCCTAAGTTTTATTTTTTAAGGGATGGAGAAAAAAAGACCCAAACATTGGTAAAATGTTTTTTTTTTTTGAGTGAAATTTTATTCAAGATGATGAGCTTTGAAGGTTCAGTGAGAATTCCGAAGTCGCTGATTCCTATATAGACTCATGTCTGTTATGTAGCTTTCCAAACTTGGAAGAAGGATTGGATCCCGTTCAATTCTCACCTTTTTCAAATGACTGATTCTGTTGCCTTTCTAGCCAAGGGGAACAAGTGTTAAAGAGCGGAATCTGGACGAATGATCTGTAGATCTCCGCATACTATTGGTCTAGCCTCTGAGGGCTCCATCGGGACGGTGTCACTCGCAGTGAGGTTTGGTGTCCCATTTCGACTCGACGAGTCACGACTCCGGGCCCACAGATGGGATTCCACAGGACTACTGCCGCAGGTTGGACGCCAGGGATGCTGGACTAGCAACCCAACACCACAAACTGCGGTTATTCTGTCGGCTAGAAGTGACATGCAGCGTGGGGACTGAACGCGGAAGGACTTCCGGTGTCGGAAAGAGTGGAAGGCAGGTGGGCGGGACTTCCGGCGGTGAGGGGAATGGAGTAGTGGATTAGGATTGGACTTCCGGTTGCCTGGTCGTGTGGCAAGGCGGGGACTTCCGGCAGAGACGGAAGTGCGGGGAGACGGGCTGCCGGTGGTGGGGCAGCTTTAGGTAGAGACACGGTGTCCTGCACCCCCGCCGTGCCTCCCGGGCGCCACGTAGCTGGCAACCGACGGGCGGCAGCTCACGGCCTGGCCGGCACTGGGCGGAGGAGGCGTGACAGGTGAGTGCCGGGCCGCCATCTTCCATCCGGACGCTCGGCTACGGGATAGGCGACTGCGGCCTCGCGGAGGTGGTGGCGTGCGGGAGGGACTGGTTGCCCCGTACCCTTGGCGAACTCCGTGCCTCCGCTTCTGACGTCGCTCCACAGTCCCCGCCCCCTCGCGATCCTCCTCTGACTCCGCTCCCTTCTACTGCTTACCTGTCCTGTGACCCCACTTCTGACCCCGCGATCCTGTGCCCCATTCCGCTGCCCTGGAGACCGGAGCCCGGGACCTCAAGAGCTGCGGCAGCGCCTCCCCCTCCGTGGCTCGATCGAGGCACCACTTTGACCGAGGTCCTGTGTAGGCCTCACGGTGCCTGTCCACCGGCTCACTTGTGCGATGGTGCCTTCAGGCCTGCGTGAGCCTCTGAAGTGCTGACCTGAGCCGGTTGTCCCGGCAGCTCCTAATCAGGTTGCCCCTTTGCTCTAGCTCCCTCTCACAGTCGCGTCGCCTCGACCGGTCCGGGTCCCTGCCAGTGCTGGTTTTCTGATAATCCTGTGAGTCCTCACAGCGAGACTGCCCTTCCTCTTGCCCGATACCCATAGGGACCCGAGGGTAGTGGACACTGGTCCCGCGACCTTGGGCAGGAGCTTAATATCTCTTTACTGCTCTCTGCCTTCTCCTCTTGAAGTTGTCGCACAAGTGATGTCGCATAAGTTCCGAGCATTTTTGCAGTGGAGGTCTTAGTTCTTACTCTAGACCTCTTAACAGTACTATTTTGGGGTAGCTGTTTTAGACCGTTCACTTAATTTGCTTGCCCTGAACTAACACTCTATACATTTCTTTTTCCTGACGTTACGCTGTGAGCGCTCTAAATTGTCTTCTCTTGGTTTTTCAAAGGACAAAATTGTTTATTAAATTTCATTGTTTAATGGAACTCGCTATTAACTATTGAGATCTTTAAAAGATCTTGTTTTACCGCTGTCCCCTAGCCCAGTGTAATGCAGAGTTGATAAGCATGCATTCTGTGATTTTATCTAGAACAGTGACACATCATTTTAAGCAGGTTAAGGCTGGTGACAAAGCTGATATTGAGACTGAAGTTTCAGCCCTCTAGGAATTCACTTAACATTGCGTTCACAGTAAAATATTAGGAAAACAAGTTTTGAAGTTCTTTCGGAAATTCATTCAGACTTTGTTTTAAGTGCTACATGCAAGTATATCCTGTAGCCATTCTTTTGAATTTTATGAACATTCCTGAAATTAAGTTCTAAGTAGGTGTTCTAAAAAAAGGTTAAAGATGACTTTGATAGGGAATTATTTTGTATGAGGGTGTAGTAAGACATGCAGCAGCATTATAAGGGCAAATGAGTTGAGCAGGAGAGTTTATATTAAATTATTTATTTGAATAATAGGATAGGGAGGTGGGTTTTTTGGAGGGCACTAGTTATATTTTCTTGAAAATAGTGTTTAAAAAAATAGGACATTTTATTCACATAAATCTTCTGTTTAAATTACTGACCTGTCCTTTGATATGGAATTAGTGTGCCTATTGAAAGAAAATAGTTTCTGGAATTTCAAACTTCTATTATAATTTGCATTAGGTGAAACAGCTTGTTGTGGTTAAAGTAGTTTATTTTTAGAGTGAAGTTTTTTTTTTTTTAAGATTTAATTATTTATGCATACAGGACTGGGGTCCAGGCCAGAGATGCAAGTCCCGTGAGAGGACTCACCTGAGACAGAGTGAGTGCAGAACAGTCAGATTGACTAAATATGCTGCGGTCTGCAGCGGGGTGGGTAGGCAGAGGTCTGCTGCACCATGTGGTCACCTCTGGGGGCAGGGATCGAACTCATGCTTTAGCGTTGTCTTAGTGCTGTGCTTTAACCTGCTGTGCCACCAGGGAGGGCCTGGAGTGAAGTTTTAAAAAAATAATCCTATAACCAATTTACTAAGTGTTTTGTCTGTTAAATGTTTGGGACCTGTTGTATCTCAAATGGGTGTTGTGAGAAATAGTGACTATTTTTTACTGATCATTTGAGGTCACAGCAACCCTTTGGGCAGTTCTTCACCTCAGACTTATTCATTCACTAGTGTCCCATCATTAATTCTGTCTGCCCTTCCTCTTGTTCAGTTTAGATTCCATGCTACATCATGTCAATCTTTGTTTTACAAACACCTGTAACTCTTGCTTCTCTTTCCATGATATCAACCTGAAAAAACCGTAAACTTGTTTTTTAAGTAACACTGACCTACGGCTGGCCCTACGTGAAGACAGAGGATAGGTTAGCCCCTGAACAAAGAAGGAAAGAAATGGTATTAAGTCGGAAGAATGTTGGGGAAAGATAGATGATGTAAATAAAAAGACGAGTGAAATTTAATAGAGTTTCAAGAAAAAAAAATTGTGACTTATTTTGGGAAAGATTTTGTGAAAGATTAACAGAAGAAAAGACATTTAAAAGAATAACTAGAGGAATTTAACATCTCATTTGGGAATAGTGGTACATGATTGCATAAATGATTGGAAAAGCAGTACTTGAACTATCCAGATAATCTCAGTGTTGATAACGCAGTGTATACAGCATGCATTATAAGCCTGTATTTGAGATAGGGCTTCTTAGCATTTAATTAGAATTTATAATTGGTCAAAATGTTTATTTGAAAATTGATCAAAAGGAAAAAGATAGCGAGTGCATCCACTGTTACATGAAGTGAAAAACAAAAGCAGTCAAATCCAGAAACAACACTGTGGTTTAGGGAATGAGCTCAGTTTAGGAAAATGCTCTATGAAAGGCAGATGTAGCATGTAAATAATTTTGTAGTTGTAAAGAAGAGTGCTTATTTTCTAGCAAATGCTAGTGAATGGAAAAGCCAGTGGTGTGATCCTTAAGAGAGAGTCATGATTCAAAATATCTACAATTTTTGAGGTGAAAGGAAGGTTGATATTACAGTTTTGCATTTTGTATAATCAGCTAGTAGAATTTTGTTTATATTTATGTAAATCTTCTGATGACATTTTTCATATAGGAAATAGAAGCACTTGCTTGTTTTATTTACTTAATTTAAATATTTAAAGTTAAAGTCTCCCTCTGAGGCCATGTCAGGACAGCTTTTGAATGTGGATATTTTCTTTCCTTTACAAAACATTCCTGATAAGCTGCAGCATAACTAAAGTATAGTAAATTATTATATGAATGGTCTTTATAATGAGGTGTTTTGTGAATTTATTAACTTAAGATGTGTCATCACTCTAAAAGAATCACATCCATCTATATTTGTATGAAAAATGTAATTTCTGGATAACTTTCCGTTAAATCAGATTTCTTGGCCAGTTTTTGTATATAGCACAGTATAATAGTTTCTAAATGTTTCCATTAAAAAAAAAAAACTACTGAAATGCTCTTCAGCTAAATAATATGAATTGTTTCCCAATTCATAGATATTTTAAGCTTAAATTGTTAGTGTTAATAATACTATAATCTTTTTTCTCTACACGAAATTCTACATGAATTTTTCTTTATGCCCTATTTCAACCATAGCCCAACTCTTATAATTTTTAGTTCACAGTATTACCAAGATAATTTATTTTGTCATTTTTCAATCAAATTTTTTTTCCTATATGTCATTTGAGGTGCTGTATATTTTATTTTGTCTTCCCTATTTCAACCAGTGATACTCATTACATATTGATACATTCTTACCTCCTTTCTTACAAAGTAGAGTGATAAAGTAAGGCATTGAGAGGCATGATTGGGTCAAACTACCATGTTTATAGGTAGACCATCCCCAGATTAATAAATATAGCCTAGTTCTCTATTCATTTCCAAACCTTTATATCTTTGCTTCTTCGTATTTTATTCAAATGCATTGCAAACTGAATATATTCAGTATTAGTTTTTGGTATCTCAAGATCTTCTGCCTCATCTCACTAATGACTGCTATTTTACCTATATCTCCTGAAATGAGGACTGTCCCTGTTACTGTTTTCTTCTCTCTCTACCCCTATCATCAATATTCATTGCCGTCACGTATTGCCTAGACTATTCCAGTATCTTCCTAACTTGTTTCCCCATTTGCAGTTATATATATATGTATATGTATATGTGTGTGTATATATATGTATATATATAAATATGTTGTATTTTCATACAACAGCTAGGGTGACTTTTTTTTTTTAAAGATTTACTTATTTATGCATACAGAGGTCGGGTATAGACCACAGGTTCAGGGGCGGTGAGAGGCTTCACCAGAGACAGAATAGGGAACAGAACACAAGCAGATCTACGGAGTACACTGCTGAGGGGAGCAGTGGGCAAGGCAGGAGATGTCTGCTACATGCACCATGTGGGTCACCTCCGTGGCCGGGGATCAAACTAGTGCCAACAATGGCTGCGGCTAGCTTTGCAGTGCTGTGCTTTAACCCATTGCACCACCAGGGAGGGCCGGCCCCCAAGGTGACTTTTAATGAAATCTAGTGTCATGTATTTGCTTAAAAAACTGTAAGTGGGTTCCTTTTTTATTGTAGGATATAATCTAAACAAAAGAACAAATATAAGTTCCTGTCTTGTCTTGCACCATCTTGTTTCATTGTTTACTGTGTTTCGGCCACATCATGTTTTTTTAATATCTCTAGCAAATCATTCTTAGCTCAGGATATTTGCATGTATGGATCCAATAACTTAAAATATTTAATCCTCTTTGTGGTTAACTCTTAACTTCTTCAGCTAGTTTAAACATCAGTTTCTTAAAATGACCTTCTCCACTCTTTAATATCCTGTCATCTCATAAGATCTGTATTTTTTTTATAGCATTCATCACACTTTGTAATTTCTGTAATAAGTTATGAGATTTTGTGTTCAATGTCTGTCTTCCAACTCATTTATAAGTAGCCTGATGTAGGGGCCAAGTCTGTTTTGTCCACTTCTAGTCCTTAATACCTAGTATATTTATTGAACTTGAAAAACATTTGGCAAATGACTTAGTGAAATTAAGACTGTTATTAGTCCTTTAAGGGGAACAAAA